CCCCCCCCTGCCCCTCCGGCGGGGTGGAAACGCGTCGCGGCGGTGGTCCGGCTGCGGGTCGGGGACTTCCACCACGTCGTCGCCCCGGCGCGGTTTCGCTGCGAGGAGACGATTTACATCCCCGGCGGCCTCCTGCCGGCGACGAGGGCCGGCTTTCATTGGCTCCCCGGCGTCCTCGCGGTGAACGAGCGGCTGGTCGTTCGCGGCCGCGGCCTGGACGGCGGCGGCTGCGTCTTCCTGGCGATGGTCGGTAGTACGCTGACGGGGAAAATGCGGCTGCACTTCGATGGGCGGGTGCGAACGAACTTTCTGGACCCGCCGGACTACGCCGTCTTCTCCAAGTACCGCGCGGGGCCGCGTTTGGCGGTCGGGGATCCGGTCGGGGGGTTTCTCTGGGGCTCCGCGCTGGTGTTGGTGATGGACGTCCCGTCCGACGCGAAATTTCTACACAAACGCGGCGACGTCGTCAAGGCCGGCGAGGCCCTTTTAAGCTGACCCCGCGCGCTTCCCCCTGCCCTTGAACTTGGAGAGCCATCCATCATAGAAAAGAAAAAAGCAACAATAGAAGGACAACTCATGGTTGTGGAAGCACCTAGACGTGTAAGACAATGAGACTAATTGGAGAATGGGCGCCGAGCGTCCTTGCGCAATTGATTAAAGCCATCGGCGTAGGGCCGCATGGCTAAAAACGGGAAAATAAAATGCGCACCATCATCGAGGTCGTCCGACGAACTATGAGGGGCGACCCTTTCCTTTTCCCTGCGTGGGATCATGTTCGCGCGACATCGAACTCCCTTATCTTTTTTTTCCCCCCAATGGACTCCCTTTTTATTCTCATTTCCTCACCCATTTCATAGTTTTAGATCGTATTACTCCCCCCCCCCACACACACAAAAAAAAAGCGAAAAGGCCGAGGCGGGGATGGCAGAGATCGGCCCGCGGATGCCCTGGGGCGTGTGGGTTCGGGTCCACGCCAAGGCCATCCTGCAGGCCCTGCCGCTGGCGCTTTTAATCGTGGTGGAGGGCCGCGATTTGTACTACCGCGCGACTTGGCAGGTGCGGCCGGTCCCCCCGTCCGACTTCCGCACCGGCGATGTGGTTCTGCTGTGCAATCGGTGGTACGCCCTGCCGTCGTGGGGCCAGCGGGTCTACAGCCTGATCGCGAAGGGCCTGCTCAAGTCCGCCTGGGAGGAGGTGGGGTTTATCATCGTCCGCGAAAACCACGAGCCCCACCTCGTCTATTGCGATCCGGACGGCGTGCGGGAGGAGCCGCTGGGGGCCTTCCTGCGCTGCCGCCAGCCCCGCGGCGCCGCCCTGCGCGCGCTCCGCGTGGAGGACGGCCGGCCCCCCCCGAGCCTCGACATCGCGGACATTTTTATGCAGGAGGTCCGGAAAAACCCGCCCCAGCCCTGGTACCTCTTCGCCGCCAGCATGCGGCATGGGGCGGAGCATCAATATTACGAATTCTGCGTGCGGATGAACAAGGAATACCGGAAGATGCGCGCGATGGTGCGGCGCGCGCAAACGCGGCAGGCCATCCACGACCAAATCGAGCAGCTTCGCGAGATGGAGACGATGCGGGAGTATTTGGCGACGCGGGTCGAGCGAAAGCCCGAGTTCCACCTGTTTAATGGCTCGTTGGTGGCGTCTTTTCTCGCGACGTACGGGTATTTGGATCGGGTGTTGCCGTCGCCCTCGCGGTACGTCCCGCAAGACTTCGCGCACGACCTGCCGTTTACCGGCTCGACCTCGCTGGGGGAGCCGGTCGTTTTTTTTAAAACGTGAAACCTAAAACTTCTCATCCGCCCCCATCCTCAGGGCGAACCACCCGAAGAAGATTCAGTCGAATGGAGGGAAAGGAAATAATTAAAATTCGACAATTAAAAGGATCCCAACGCGATACAAACACAAAACACTATGCTAGTTGAATATACCCACTGCGATTGGATAAACTGGGAGCCTGGAATGTGAGGAAGGGGGGGTTGACGTGCCCTCTGAATGGTTTAAGGGAAAACTTGTAAAGCGCAGGTAGGAAAGTCTTCAAGACATTGCCTTTTTGGAATGGTACACTTTCCACACGAGAGTCAAGTGAAATTGATCTGGACCACCGTCTGAATGGACCCTACAAATTCAACCTACAAGGGGGGCAAGTCCACAGACGAATAGAAGGAACTAAATTCTCACACTTTGTGCTTCCCATGGTAAACTTCCTAAGCTACAAAAATGACAAGCTATTTTTCAATTCTTCTGTTGTATTTTAAGGTGGAAATATCGTTGATATTGAGGGAAGGAATGATAGTATAGACTGACACCATCCATGACTTCTTTATCATCCATTTTTGTTTTCTAGTATAAATAGGAAAATCTAAGAAAGTTTTTTATGTTTATAAAAGTCTTGATTTACGTTGATTTAGTAATTCAATTCTAAAAAAGTAAAGCCCAAACGTTATTTGATTGCATTATTAAAGAAAAACACTTCACCCATATTATATAACATTTTTCAAAGTTTGGTTGTCTTCGACACTTAACTTGTATACATATATATTTATATATTCACACTATTTTTCCATCCGAACTACTAGCAAACGACCCCTCACTGTACGTGTTCACTGTAACAGAATCCCACGTTTTGCATCACAATGCCGGAGGGTGGCATAGGTAGCAGCAATGAAAACTTTATTTCTTTCCTCTTTGCGATCGCGTCGGTGGTTCTTATTATTTTGTACATTCCATGGATTATTGGCAAAATCGCAAGTATTTATGCGTACCGATCCACGCCTAAGAAATTACAGGCCTCAATGGTCAACCCGCTAAGCGAGATATGGGATTCCCTAACCTATCTGCCTTTGGTTATAATGAAAAATATACAAGACCCGATGATGGTTATAAGCGGTGCGAAGCTATGTATGAAAGAAAAGGTCTTTTTTTTGCGTTGTGTGATGCCAAAATTTATAAAATACGTCTTTCGTCCGCGTATTTTCGTGCCACTTGTGTGGTTTGTGTTGTTCTCCTCGACGATGTACTCCACCCTGACCTTCGACGCCTACGCCATTCTGGGGTTGCCGAAGTCGTCCTCCACGCTGGAGATCAAAAAAGCCTATCGCACTCTCTCAAAGCTCTACCACCCCGATCTCAACAAAACCGAAGAGGCCCGGGGGATTTATCTTCAAGTCCGGCGTGCGTACAAAGCCCTTGTGGATCGAGAGGCTTTTGAGAAAGAAGAGGCCCAAAATATTCAGGATTACGCCGTCGGCATCGCCTTACCCCGCTTTATGACGTCAGGGGAATACAATGAGGTGGTGTTGTTTGGCCTGCTGGGCATCCTGATTGCGCTACCGGTGGTGGTGTGGTTGAAATTCAGGGATAAAAATGAGATTCCTAAGCTTTTACACCAAATTCGTGCCGATAAGGAGCTGGTGGAGCGCTTTGTGATGCACTTCGGCATCCCTGAAGATCCGAAGTACATCGAGCGGCGCGATTCCCGCCGGACCATCCTGAGCATCCTCATCTCTCTTAGAATATTCCCTTCTTACGCGAGTGAAAAAGCCGTTTACCACTTCCCGCCGCTTCTGGATTTTGTTCAGCGGTGCATCGACTCTGACAACAATCGAAATATGATACTTGGGCTTGGGTTAAACGAGCAGCACATTGAAATTTTACACGCCGCGATGGTGAACAACGGGGTGGAGATCGTAGAAAACTTCACGCGCATGGCCGAAGAACGGATCGCCAAAATGTCAGACCCCTCGTGGCCCTCTTCAAACCTACTTACCCAGTCTGAGTACCGGGCCACCCGCTATTTATTCAAACAGCACATAATCCAGGTGGATAACGCTCTAATAAAATTATCGGAGGAGTTGGGGGGCGCCAATCTGCCAAGTGTTAAAAAGCTTTTGAATCTCCATCAAGAAATCTATGAACTTTTGGATTTGCTTTACATCAAGGGCAATAAAAACAGCAAAAATCATATCGCACAGCTTATCGAAATACCGCAGCGCGTTTCGAATCTGGTGGATTCAATTGAACCCGATGTTCAACTCGTGTATCGGCGATACACCAATCATATTAAAAAGCAAATGATGCAACAGAATAAAGCGCGTTCACGGGGACTCAAGACGAACTAATTGGATGCATTTGTACCTGTTAAAGAGCCATGATATTTGGTATCAGTGGCATTCTCCAATTTTGTTTGTCTCAGAATGAATTTTCAAGTGTCTTTGTTGCTTAAAACTCTCTACATAAATAACATAGCTAATTCGTTAAATTAAGAGATATGTATATGCCATTAAAAATACGTAATGAATTATTGTTCCGTATGGACTCCTGCTAACCGAATGTTAAGGATATGCTACTGATCACCTTTTGATTCAGTATTATGTGTACTAACTAAATCATATGGCTTTTTCTCATTTCACGCGTGTATAAGTTATATTTCACATAGTGTGTAATTTATCTCAACCGAGTTCATCGTTTTTTCCAAGACGGTCTTGATAAAGATGGCCGGATTAGAACAACGCAAGCTTCCAAAATCGTCTAAGAAGGCGAAAAGCAGCCTAGACTCTACCCTGGCGAAAATCCCCTCGAATAAAAAATGGGATAGAAAAATGAAGGAAAAGGATCGAAAGCAGCGTCTGAGTAAACTTTCCAAGCAACTTCGTGATGAAATAAACGCCGAACAGAAGCTCGCGGTGGAATCCCGCAAAGCCAATGCGCAACGTAAGCAAGAAAATGAGCGAAAGAACATGGTAGTCCAGACAATAAAAAATGATAACAAAATTAAAAAGCTTAGCCCCAAGCACCGCCGTGCCGCCCGCATCTTCATGCTTCATGAGCTATAACCCCCCCCCCTCCCCCTCACCCCTGTGCGCCCCGCGGCGTCGACGTGGACTCTTGTCTCC